GTCATTCACAACGACATATGCAGACTTGGTGAACTAGGGTGCAAGGTCGAAATACAATGGATACCAGGGCACGTCAACATCAGTGGCAATGAGATAGCTGACACTCTGGCGAAAACCGGGGCTGCCCAGCCTTAGCCAGAAGTACCAATGACTTTCTTGGGAGTCAAAAACTGGCTGGCGGACCACTTCAGGCAGAAGTGGTACAGGCAATGGGCTGACAACACGACCGCCAGTGGCGTCTATTCGAATTTGCCCACTCCTAGCAAACAAGACCCATGGTGGGAGTTAGAATGAAATAGTGAAACGAGGTATGTGGAAGCTTGAAATAAGGTAACAGGACAAAAAACAAGGACGTTTCGGCATAAAGCCTTCCTCAGCCAACAATAGAAATGAAAATATAACAAAGAAAAGAACACAGTAGACAACTCGAGCAGTATTCATTCGTGTCTCCGGAAGTGGGAGTTAGGTCGCAGATCGCAGAGTCTAGTGACGCAGATGCGCACCGAGCACTGCCCCTTGCGCACATATTTCTGGAGGTTGGATAACAACAGAGATCCTACCTGCCGGCAGTGCAGCCTGGCCCCAGAGACCCTAGAACATCTGTTGACTGAATGTCCCACACTAGATCTCCCGGGGGAAGCCAGGGCGGTTGGAGGATCCTTTGTGAGGGAAATGTTGTATGGCTCAGCTCAACAGAATGCAGCCTGGCCCCAGAGACCCTAGAACATCTGTTGACTGAATGTCCCACACTAGATCTCCCGGGGGAAGCCAGGGCGGTTGGAGGATCCTTTGTGAGGGAAATGTTGTATGGCTCAGCTCAACAGATGGAGTTGTTAACCAATTTACTAGCCGGGGTCATAAGAGAGTAATCTCAGACCTTCACCAGAATATGTGCGTTAGATAGTGCCGCGTCCTCCGCACCATCTTTTTGCGCCCCATGCAACTATTTTGTGATGCGGCCCCATGCATTTAACGTTGATAGGTATGATGGATTAGTGCTTGCGTATGTGTGTTTGTGTAGACCGAACACGCAATTATCTGGAAGCGTCATTTGTTTCATAGCATTAAACCACCAGTCACATGACTCTCCTCCAGGCAGTCATTTGTTGTCCTCAATACAGAGATCGATGGGTGTAAGCAACAGTGAGAGGGGCATCCTTGGGACAGGTCATGGAGGAATTCAAATACAGAGAGCGAGAGAGAGACAGAGAGAAAGAGAGCTAGAAAGAGAGCTAGAAAGAGAGAGAGCTATAGAGAGCGAGAAAAAGGAAGATAGGGAGAGAGAGTAAGAGAGAAAGAGGGAGATAGAAAGAAAGAGAGAGAAAGAGAGAAAGAGTGAGATAGAAAGAATGAGAGAGAGAGAGAGAGAAAAAAGGAGGCAAGAAAGTGTAACGGAAAAGAATAGTTTGAGCAGAGGGTTAAAAGGTTAGAGATTGGAGGAGAGAGACATAATGAGAGAGGGGGATATATATATCTAGAGAGAGAAAAGGGTATAGAGAGTTAGATAAAAAGTAAAAGAGAAAGAGTGAGAGACGGAAAACATATTATTAACATGTATTAAGACCATGATGACGTAGCTTGTTAGTCCCATGTATGAAGACCATGATGACGTAGCTTGTGTCCGTCCATGGGAACCCCCCCCCCCCCCCCCCCACAGTTTTTATTTACTTCTTCTTTCTATCCTGCTTTCCTCACAGAATTCGATATTTACTGCCAATCATTAAATTGTTTAGACAAATCTCATTAAACTGCTTAGCACCTCTGTCTGCGTAGACAAATCTCATAAACTGTTTAGCACTCTGCCTGCGTAGACAAATCTCATAAACTGTTTAGCACCTCTGTCTGCGTAGACAAATCTCATAAACTGTTTAGCACCTCTGTGTGGACAAACATTTTCATGGATGAAATATGTGAAGAACAATTTGAGAACAAACTTGTCCGATGATGATCTCGGGTTACTGTTGATGTTAGGGAAATCAAATCTAAAGCCAGAAATGTCCGCTACTTTGGCATCCAGGAAACAATTTCCCAATTCCCACTAAGACAGGTGTTCATGTGTAGTGTATCAATGTGTTGTTAAATAATAACTGAATGGAAGAACATGACTCGATGATCAACTGTACAGGATAGGAGAGCCATCAAGGGAGCATTTATATGCTAACTGGCATGGAAATAACACATGTACATATACTAATTGAAATGAAAATTAGAAACATGCTTATACTAATTGGCATGGAAATGACACAAATACATATAATAATTTGGTGGTTATAAAACCCATTTTAATTCTCTTTGGCATGGGAAAAGTTCACATTGATATGCTAATTGGCAAAGAAATTTAACACAATACACATACTAATTAGCAGGAAAATAAGTAACATACATATACTATATGGAAATAACACAGACATGGAAATAACACAAATACATATAATAATTGGCATGGGAATAACACACATTTATATAGTAATTTACATGTAAATAACAGAAATACATGGCATGGAAATAATACACATTCATATACTCATTGGCATGAGAATAACACACATACCTATGCTAATAGGTATAAAAAAAACACACACACATCTAATAATTGGCATGAGTGTAACACACAAATATACCAATTACTATGGAAATAACACAGACATGTACCAATTACTATGGAAGTAACACACAAATATACCATTTAGTATGGAAATAACAAACATATACAAATTAGCATGTAACTAACGAACAAAAATACAAAGTAACACTTAAACACAAATATACCAATTGAGATGGAAAAACATAAAAATATATCAATTAGCATGGCAGTAACACTCAATTATACCAAATGACATGGAAATAACATAAATCTATACCAACAATCATGGAGAAAACACATACATATACGAAATTAACATGGAAATAACACACAAATGTGCCAATTAAAATAGAAATAAAACACTCATATATCAATTGCCATGGAAATAACAAATAAATATGCCAATTAGAAAAGAAATAACAGACATATACCATTTAGAATGGAAATAACACACTTATATGTCAATTAGAATGGAAATAGTACACACAGATCAATAAGCATGGAAATAACACACATCAATATACCAATTATCATGGCATTAATAAACATAAATTAACTTATAAGAATTGGCATGGAAATAACACATTCATCAACTAATTAGTATGGGAAAAACATACAAACATATACCAACAATCTTGAAATAATAAACATACATACACAAAATAGCATGGAAGTAACAAAAATATATATAGCAATTATTACCATGGAAATAACAAACATATTAACATGGAAATAACTTGCATATACACAAAATGACAATGAATTATAAAATATACAACACAAATTAGCATGGAAATAATATATTAATTAATACACAAAAATTGTTAAAACACACTTAGATATATAACAACATGCATAAGAGAAAACATACATACACATATCAAATAGCATTGAAAAACATTTACACAATTACCAATTAGCATAGAAATAATAAACATACATAAACAAAATAGCATGGAAAAAAAAATGTTTATACAAATTAATGTACCAATTAACATAAAAATAATAAATATACATATATTAATTAGCATGGAAATATGAAACATACATACACCAATTAGCTTAAGACACACGTAAATAGACCAATAAGCATTGGGAAAAACACCTAAACATACACCAATTATTATCAAATAAGACACATGCTTACATCTATTGGAATGGACAATCAAATTTACTTACAAAAATTAGCATTAAAAATAACACATACATGAACCAGTTAGTATGAAAATAAAATTTACATATATAAATCGGTATGTGAATAACACACTTACATATACTAACTAACGATGCAATAATACACAAACTTACACCAATTAGCATGGGGAAAACACACATACATATGTCAATTAGCATGGGAATAACATTTATATACTAGATAGCATGGAGTAACACAAGTTCACTTACCAATCAGCATGGAAAAAAAACAAACATATGCCAATAAACAGATATAATAAACACAGATACACCTAAGTCAGTAAAGCTTCGCCGTTCTTGTGCAGCTCTTCTGTTCTGATGCCTTCTTTCGCTTCAAATGCTGTCGTCTGATGTCAGTGCCATATTCCTCTTCCAGTGACATTGTTCGCTCCCAGTTCCATCGTCTGCTTCCATTGCCATCATCCGCTCACAGTACCATCGTCCAATCCCAATGCCATCGTCCACTCACAGTGCCTTCATCCACTCCCAATGCCATTGTCCACAATCTGTGATGTCCAGTGCCACTCATTCTTCCCGGTGCCACTCCTATTAACATGGAAATAACACATACATAAACCAATTAGCATGGCTATAACACATATCATTTGGTATATGGATTACACAGATACATATACCAATTAGCAATAAAATAATACACATACATACAACTATAAGCTTGGGAAAAACCCACAAACATGCACCAATTAGCAAAGAATAAGACACAAACATAAACCTCTTAACATGTATAAAATAAAAATATATACACCTACCTCTGTGCCGCTTCTCTGTCCTGTTGCTGTCATCAGCTCACATTGCCGTTGTCCACACCCTGTGATGTCCGGTGCCACTCATTCTTCCCGGTGCCACTTCTATTAGCATGGAGATTAAATATATTAATTGGCATGGGAATACCACAAATGCATATACCAAATAGCAATAAAGTAATACACATGCACACACCCTTAAGCTTGGGAGCTCCACCGACTTTCTTTCCATTAATAAGTCCATAATTTAACTACACGTTAGAGTCACTTCAAATTGAAAACTAAATAATCATAATTAAAGCAAAGACTCCTTCAGACGCAGGAACCTACCAAACGACTAAGATAAGTATTTCCGGCCCCTGGAATTTTGAGCTGATCTCCAGCATGACTTGCATGTAGCTGGAAAACACATCAGGAACCTCAACCTGGCGCTGAGATGATAAAAACAAGAAACCATTATTTGAGTTTTTTGTCCCTATTTCAAGTAACAAGATTCAATTTGTAACTATGATAAAAAAATTATTAAAGACAAATTTCTGAAGGGATGACAGGTAAGAAGAAAATAACAAAATTCAAACATGTTTTTACATGACATCCAAGCTGTGTGTGTGTGTGTGTGTGCGTATGAAAAATTATAATTTAAATCACTCTTTGTAGGTTTATATAAAATGATCTTATGTTATAAATATCAATATCGGTAAATTATTAGAAAACGTCACGCGATGGCTGCCATCTTGGTTGACACAACAAGTTAATTTTGTCATTAATGTGTTCCTAAATCGATCCTTCTGCCTAACCTGAACCCTAATTCATTGCAACTATAAAAAACATGCAAATGACGTCACGGGGTGAAAACTAAGAATCAGCCTCAATATATTCTATGTTTGGATAAAATTGTGAATTTTTCTGAGATTTTCAGTTAAAGAAGATGTTAATATAAATTCTAACTTTAATTTTAAAGCAGAAATAGGTGCTGGGTGGCTGAGCAGTTTAAACTGTCTCAAACCAAATAGCTGGTGGTCTGGAGTTCAATGCCCAACAAAGCCAACATCCCATGCACCCCGAGTGGATGGTACTCGCTAGCCTTGGATGGCAACTCATCCAAGAGAAGACAAACTCTGAATTCAAACCGTAGCCAGAATGATCAACACATTTATCGTGTGCCCTTAAATATAAAAAAAAGAAGAAGAAAATAAAAATGTGAACAAATTGTTGCAAGGGTTATGGCTTGTTTGACAAAATCACAGCATGGGCAAGGGTTATGACTTGTTTGACAAAATCACAGCATGGGCAAGGGTTATGACTTGTATGACAATATCACAGCCTGAGCAAGGGTTATGACTTGTTTGACAAAAACCCAGCCTGAGCAAGGGTTATGACTTGTTTGACAAAATCACAGCCTGGGCTAGGGTTATACTTGTTTGACAAAATCACAGAATGGGCAAGGGTTATGACTTGTTTAACAAAATCACAGCATGGGCAAGGGTTATGACTTGTTTGACAAAATCACAGCATGGGCAAGGGTTATGACTTGTTTAACAAAATCACAGCATGGGCAAGGGATATGACTTGTTTAACAAAATCACAGCCTGGGCAAGGGTTATGACTTGTTTGACAAAATCATAGGATGCTACAAACAGCAGATTATCAAAATTTCTGAAAATATTATTAAAAATGCATTATATTTATTTGTAACATTTAGACAGCTCTATAGCGGGTAAGTTCTGGAGGTAAAGAGTTGCCAGTGGGCAAATAATCAAGGGAAATCGACTTAAATATTCTTGGGGAGAAGGAAAACTCCAAGCTAAAAGCTTTAACCACCAAAGCAGCCAATCAGTGATCAACTTGACATGGGGTCACCACTATTCTAACACTATGTCTTGAAAAAGAAACAACAAAATTAAAAGAGTTTTTATCCCCCACAGATGGAAAGTTATAAACTACCTGCATATAATGACAAGGCACTTCAAGATTTCTGCCATCAAGTCTAGGCTTTCTAAATTGAAATCTTTGATGGTGTCCTCGCTACATTTTTGAGCAACCTGACCAAGGTGTTGTAGCGTGGACTTTGGGTGTTCGGTTAAAAGTGGACTTTGATTGTAGAGGCTGTGGACAATTTTGTTCACAACAGTTTGTCATGAGTGAAAAGGTATTCCTGGCATCATATAGCAGTGCATTTAAAGTAACTTGCTTTATTTTTATTTTTTTTAATAACATCTTACATATTGTATCTAAGCTACTTGTGCAGGATAAAATAAACTTACCCTTCAGCGAGGTGCTCAAAATCAATATCAAGAAAAATGGCATAAAAACTTGTGAAGTGACTGGTGAAATCTAAAACTGTGTCTTTGTCCTTCTGTTGAGGATAATAAAAAGCAAACAAAATTGATTACAGCAAAACATGTGAGTACAGTGATCAGTAAGCACTAATGGTACAAACATATCACATCAAAATATATGGGTCCCAGTACCAAAGATTCAAGTATAAAAATTAAAGCCCTCATTCATTTAAAAAATCAATATTTTAGGGTAATATTAATATTTTAATCTAATTAAAGGGACATTGTCATCTTCACCAATTCATACGTGTCTGCTCATATTTAGGGTGATAATTAAGACCAGCTACATATAAATTGGTGAAGATGAACACTTCTCTTTAACTAGATTTAAATGATACATTTCTTCCCCAGAAATATAAAAGTAACTAAACTGAAAATTTCCATGAAAACCTAGGCAGTGACCATTATCTTGTGACATCAAAATTTATATTAATAAGGATGACAATTGTAAAGTTGGCCAATGCTAAGGCCAAACTTTGTTAAAAGTAGTAGCCTAAGTCAAAACATTATGCTAAAGCTAAACAAATTTAAAAGTAGTTGCCTAAGTCAAAACACTATGCTAAGGATAAACAAATTTAAAATTAGTTGCCTAAGTCAAAACATGAGTAAGTAATTTCAGTGTGAGAAATTTAAATGATCAAATTAGTAGGCCTCGGCTAAACCTGAGTAAGTGAAGAACATTAAGAAATACTACTTAAAGTACGGTATGCACATTTTATGGGCATCCAGATATAAGCAATTTTTTTTTTATTAACACTTAAACATGGCAAAAAGAAAAAAAAATATGAATAGTCTCTTATTCGCTGCATGGTAGTAAGAGAATTATAATATGTCAACTTCTTTCTTAAAAATGGATAAATCCCAAATTTTAAATTAAAACAATTCAATTACAGTCTGAATTTCAATCAAATTTTGAGGTTTTACAGTAAAGAATAGCAATTTTGTAGCAGCTAAGTTATGCAATTATAAATTGGATAATTTTAATTATAACGACATTTTACATAATCTAGTATATAATGTTAGTAACTTGAATAAATATTTTTTTGTTTGTGACAAATCATTGCCTATTGCTTAATTTTTGGTCAACTTGAAAATGTAAAAAAAACATTGCATGTGCATTGGGGGAAATGTGGTCCCAGTCATTTCTTTGTCAAAATAAGTTGTGATATATATCATTTAAAGAGAATAGAATGGTAATCAATACTGTGTTGTCCTGTTTTTTTTAATCATTTTTTTTTAAATAAATCAATTTGAATTGACGTAACTCTAGTTTTTAATTTCTCGCACATTCTCCACCAGTTGCCATTTTCATGATAACCACTGTATTAAGTAAGCATCTATTTATCTACATGAATGGGCAAATAATTCTTTTTCCCCACCCTACTCCAACAATTTTATTTAAGTTTCAAAACAGTGAAAACATGGGAATGATGACTACATTTCCTCTCTGGATACCATTGTCGGCATTGTTTATTAAAGCTTGAAAATTAGAAAAATCATATGACCAAGGAGTGTCAGCTCTCTCAAAAAGTCTCTACCCGGTTTTTATATTATTCACTTTAATATTTTCTTACTTGTCTCAATTAACAGAGCTATACTAAAATAATTCTTGTTCTTGAAAATGATCATTACTTTCTGTAGAATGGACCTACAATCATAACTTTGGTATCAAATCAATTAGTTGTTTTTTTCAAGCCATAGGCCTTAAAGGCATTAATTAAAATTTTTCATTTTGAAAATATTGTTCAATACATAAATGAATTAACACAAATTTTGCAGATTTTTTACCCCTCCCCATGCCTACACTGTCACAAATTGTCAGAAAAATTTAGATCCACCTTGAAATATAACGTAACAAACCTCTGCACCCTATAAAAAACATCACCTCCCATGGATATCAAATAACTGCACCTGTGTCAGAAACATTTCCCTAGAAACAGGCATTCTTAACCAGGATTGAAAGCCCCCTGAGGTGGGGTAGACCCACAAATTGTATTTTCTGCCATAGCTAGTTGTTGTTTCCTTTTAAAAAAAAATAGTAGTTATGCATTTTGATTAGCAGCAGTAAACAATTTTTCCTGGTAAATTTTATTCACACATTACTTTTATTGGTAATTTTTCTCTTTTTTCTAGAAAGTTAAATAGAAAAATAGAGCTAAACTAAATCATTTAATTATTTTCATTACAAAAAAAAAACTATTAAAATATAATTAATTTATGCTGGGGGTGGGGGGAGAAGTTTTAAATAACAGGGGATGCAGTGCTGCTGCAAAAAATTTAAGTATCCCTGCCCTAGAACATTTAATAAGATCATTCAAACCTCAACTGCCAAACATTTTTTCATTCCATCTCACTTCACATGGTAGGCCTAATTCTATAAACATACAGTATAGTCAGAAAGTAGAAAGAATAGTAACATAGTACATAGGCGACATAGCCAAAAGCTGTCATAGGCTTCCACAGGTGTAGGCTAGGAGTAGGGCCAGGTCCTAGGCCTAGTGTCGATTATTGTAAATGTAACTATTTAACTAGTCAACTAGATTTGACTTTAAATCATTGTCATTGATGAGTGAATTGAGTAATATCGGTGTGATTTATGACCAATGACTACTGACGGAAGTCCTCAGTTTTCAATTTCAGAACTTTTTCAATTTCAGAACTGAGAACCAGTCAGTTGAGTCAGTCAGCTCATACTTCATTCATAGAGAAATTTTAATTAATGCCTTTAAGGCCTATATTTATTATTATTAAAGGCCACATGAATACATACCAGACCTGTTTCCTATTACATTTATAGTAAAAAAAAAAAAGGCTGGCACTACGTACACAGCGGCGGTGTACCTAGCAAAACCATTGACTTTGGCCTGTGTACACTGCGGCAGTGTACCTAGCTAAATCATTGTCTGCGGCCTGCGTACACCACAGCGATTTAAAGTAGCAAAACCATTGTCTTTGCGAGTCTTTAACTTTTTGGCCTAGTGCTACTTTTAGATTTAATGTTGTACTCTTGTTAAAACTGAAAACTATTTATTTAAAAATCGTTTAGTACCTTGGGAGGAAGATATTGAGTAAGTTCCATGCTTATGTGGCAAAGTACTTGTAGAGCATTTCTTATTATTTATTGGAAGGGAGGCGGCTGGGGTTGTAATGTTAAACCATGATTTATTTTTAAAG